TTATGTACTCTTGGTTTGTCTATTACTTTTGTCCAGGATGTAACCGGTACGTATAACGTTACGAAGAGCGATCAAAATGTTCATGGGTCACAACTACTTTCCTTCACTCTATTCTGCATGTCTTTCACATTCTAGAGGTTGTTGACATGCAGGTTTGCCTGGGTTTAATTATGGTGACTTTTTATTTGCTCCGGCAGCCACCCACCTCTATTGCATTTTCCCCCCTTAATTTCCGTTCTTTATTCTTCTTCCAATTTAGCGCAACTAGGTTGGTTGATGTCCGCCGCGCATCGTGGGCAAGTATAACTGTCTTTGGGATATAGCTTCAAAGCTATAGTTGTAATTTGTAGTGTGATGATAAAGAATATTAGGGTGCTTTCTAAATTGAGGATAAATTCAGATAAAAAGCAGGGTATCCCACGCAAGACTGCGTTTCATAGTTTTTTTCGGAAGTTTAATTGAGAGGGTGAATTGCGATATAATAACACGCGATGTCTATATTGCCTGGGAACAAAAACAAATAACCCATACAAAGCATGACAATGAGGTGATAACATCATACCGGATATATATATATATATATATAAGGGAAGGGAGAGATATTGTAGTGTTATGAGAAAACGCTTTAGAAAACTCGTGATTACCATTGCGAGGAACACGCAAAACGTTAAAAAAAAAAGAGGAACATCTCCCAAGCCGGAAACGGCGGCGACCTTCCAAGGTTGTAGTTACAAGGGTACCTTCATTGTAGATTATTGCCGAACACCATAACTAAATAAACCATTGGAGAGATTTTTTTTTTTTTTTTTGGCGTGAAATGACTCATTTTCTGAAAGAAGTCACTAAAATTCCATACTGACAGCTGTCAACAGAGTCTGGACCCCGGTGTTCGTTAGTGGTTTATACTTCCTTGGATCTTAGCTGAAGGGTCTGTGTTACCGCCACCCCGCTTTGGGCCTTGAAAGGATCTTCAGCTTTTCAATTCCCAGCCTCTTCAGGCAGGTTGCATTTCTTGTGAGATTTGTGACCCCTTCTGAGACACAGGTTCACCCCAAATAACAAAGAAGAAATTGGATTCATCAATTCCTCGTCCCCGATCTCTTCGACTACGGTTTCGCCTTCCAATCCCTCTCTGAACCGAAGAGATGGGAAGCTACACGTTTCGATGGTAAGTTGAGCAACCTAATTGAACTCTGTGTGTTCCTCCGATCTGGGATTCCCACTCCAGCCCATGGTCATCTGGATCAATCTCGATGATTCCGGCCGTGTTTCCCTGAGCTGACTCAGGCATCCTTTATTCGGAACATGGGTTCGATTGCATCGCTGACTGACGCACTTCCTGCATGGGAAATTAGGCCTCGCCATGCAAATGAGGTGTTTGTGACCGGAACCTTTGATGACTGGGGTAAGACCATCCAACTCGATCGAAAAGGCGACATCTTCGAGAAAGAGGTCTCGTTACCTGCGACAGAGGAGAAGTTGCATTACAAGGTAAGGGACGAGACGACTCAAGCTTCTCCATGTTTGCTTACTACTACAACTACTACCACACCACTGTGCTTATTTCTTCCCGAGTCCTTCCCGTTCAAAGCCCGATTAGGGAATAGTATGATGTGATGTAGCCGTGGATCGTCTGAGCTTCCATGACGCTGTCCGCGCTCTTGCCGTGTTTCCCTGACGTCATTTGCCGCTTTCCACCTCTCAGGCTCCCATGGATTTCCCTCTTCTTCTTTCCCCGCTCTAGAAAATGCTATAAAGAATCTCATCTTTCACGTCAGCCTGTCGTTGCATGGGATCCACTAACGTCCTCTATCTAAGTTTGTTGTTGACGGCATCTGGACAACCGACCACAGTGTTCCGGAAGAAGACGACGGTAACCATAACATCAACAACGTGCTTTATCCCGATCAGATTCGGACTAAAGACACTACCTCGAGTTTACAAAACGGCACTGCAGTAATGGCTGGCCTAGCCCCCGATTCTACAACGGCTGCATTGGCTGCCGAAGTCCCCAAAGAGTCTCGCAAGGATACCCTAGGCGACGCTGCCTTCTCGTCTGCCGCTCCTGGATCGACTACGGCAGAGCTCGCCAAACATGCCCCTCTCGAACAGCGAGCGAATGTCCCTGGGACGTTCCCAGCGACCCCACGATCGGAAATTGAACAATTCTCTGTGAATCCCATCCCCGCCTCGAGTGGCACGGGCAACCCGATCAAACTAAAGCCGGGAGAGAAGGTGCCTGACCCGAGCACATTCAACAACAACACAATCCACTCTACCGCCCGGACAGACCAAGCCGGCTATGAGCAGGACGCCAGCCATCCATTGACTGGGGGTCAGTCTAAAGAACCCAGCGCATTTGCTGTTCCCCCGGTCTCGAATAATATGATCCCTGAATCTAGCCTTCCCATGGGCCAGGCCAGCCAGGGGACTTCTGACCCTGTCACTATTCAGTCCGCAGCGCCGACATCCACCACTGCAGCTCTTGCTGGTGCTGTTCCTCTTGAGTCTCACAAGAGACAGGCCGACGGTGGCTCTGGCGCACCCGTGGGCGATGTTCCGGAAATGGTGAGGCACTCGATGTCCGAGGCTCACGTAGATCCTGAAGCAGCTGCTGTTCAGGAGGCCGTCGGAGAGAAGAAAGAGATGGAGCATGAACTTCAGCAGAAAGTCCCGGTTGATGAATCGAGAGGCACACCAGCACCCACCACTGGTGTCACTGCTGCAGCCGCTGAAACTGCTCCCCAAGCCACCCTACCACAGCCTGATTCGGCACAGTTATCACCACGGGCGACAACTCCAACGAGGCCCGATACAACTTCCGAAGCGGGGCCGACCGTTACGACTGGGCCTGAGACCACCAAGACATCTGAGGTGTCGGGACCTGGTGGTGGCTCAGCTGCAGCAACGGCTGGTGATACTGGAGCGAGTGCAACCAAGACTGCCGAGCCGACACATCCTCAGGATACCGGCGCGGGGAAGCCGAGTACTCCACCCAAGGACACGGAGCGCAAGGATTCTGGATCTTCGAGTGGTACCCCATCTCAGAAGAAAAAGAGGAACCGCGCCAGTGCATTCTTCCATAAGCTCAAGGAGAAGCTCACCTGAGCTTTTGTACTCCGACGGCCAACTGTATGGTCTTGGCCCGTACCCTGAAACGATCCGTTATTATTACAGTTACGATCATGAGCCAGCAGCCTGAATGATTCAAGACTGGTGGGCGGAGGTGTTGCTTGATTCTTGGTCTGGATACCTTTGTGTTTTGTTGTTTTGCCCGCATGACTTTATACCTACTCTGTTGTGCACAGTTATTGTTACGAGTAATAGGTTAATTTAAGACTAGTGTTTAAGATTGATTGTCGCTCATCATGCTGAGGAATCGCATATAAGTCATTACAATTATATTATACACCCAGCCCCTATCAAATGGGTATAGCATCGCTGACTTTTTGATTTAACGTGACCGGATACCCCAACATACTGTAAGTGCCAAGTCAGTGGGAACAATCCTTTAAGAAAACCCACCAAGTAGAAATAGGATGAAAAAAGAAACGAAAAGAAAAAAGAGCAAACTCACTCCTTGCCCGTCTGGGTCAAACAACAGCCACAAAAGATAGACGCAGGATAACAAACAATCTGCATCCCCGGTGCGTCAGTACTCATATGCCCTCGGAGACCAACCATTACAGATACGAATGTGTACAGTACATACCGCCGCAACAATCGTCACACAGAACCCTAGACCGTCCATTAGCCATTCACCCTGATACATGTCTAGTAGAGGGCATAACACGATCGGTCTATACCTAACGTTGGGCCGAGGACTTTACAGCGACAGGGATTCTGGTCCGTGCCGCATTGGAAGCAAATGGGGAAGATCGGGAGGAAAGGGACGTCGCACATGATTAGGGTTGGTTTTATCGGAGTATGAATTGGGTTTTTTCACTTTGCTGTAAGGGGGGTATAGATGATGGTTTTCTACTGACTGATCACTACTACTTCTACTACGAGAGTGTTTGAGGTACTGGAGGTATGATTCATGATGACGACAGTGGTTGGCATGTAACCTTAGAGCCAAATATCTTCATCAATAGGAAGATTGCAGAGGAGTGTAAGTTAGGTAGATATTTCATGGTTGAAAAGAGGCCAAAGGGAACAAACAGAAAAAGATCCAGAAATTTAGGCTTCTACATTAAAGTAGATATAAAAAGACCGTGGCTTGGCTTCTTCACTGTCAGTATTAGTGTCAGTGTCAATTAAATGTAACTAATCTAGAACCAAGACTGAAGCCTCACAAGCCACACACACACACCATCAAGAGCGCCAACACAGCCACTTCAATGCAAGCCCATAACCAACGATCCAATGGCAATCAAATCCCTCAACCAGGGGCCCTGACAAAAGATGACAAGTATACCCAAAGTAAACATGACAACCTCGGCACGCCCAAACGAGAACTAAAGGAGAAAAAACGAGGGCGCTAAAAGTAGGCATCAATATTCTTCATATTCGATTTTTAACCCCCGCCCCGCTTGCCAACGCTTGGCAATTAGCACAGGGCATTTGGCTGCTGTTTTGTTCATTCTCCTCATTCCTTGGTTTTTTCTTTTCTTTTCTGATTTGTCACCTGGGATGTTTTTTTTTGATTTGGTTTCAGACGCCCTTGTTCTATTTTCTTTACCTTCGAAACGAGAACCCCGGACTTATAAATAGTTGCATCGCAAGGCACCATCCCATTTCTCCCAAGGTCACGATTTAATCTTTTTGGTTCTTAAGCCACGCCGCCACCGCACCTGATCCACTCCCGCTCAGCCCTACGCCTTATTTGATTTAAGAAGGCGGCGACGAGCCATTTCGTCTTATCCTGTTCTTCTCGTTCAGTGAATACTTACTCTACCTACTCAAGTTAACCGATCCCATCGCATTCCAAAACAAACAACCCAACCAACCAACCAAATCACAATCTAAGCCGAGAATAAAGAAAAAGCGAAAGAAAGAATATGGCCCGCGGCAGCCTCGTCCCCCTCATCGTCCTCGTGGTCGTCGTCACCGTCCTCGCCGTGATCGGGTACATCACCTGGTCGATCGTGCAAGAAGTAACGCGCAACACGAAGTCCAAGATGGAAAAGAAGAACGTGGTATGGACGAAGGACGGCATGAAGGTTGGAGTGAAGGAGTTGAATAATGAGGATTATCAGGACCGGACCCAGAGGTTCGTTTTTTCTTTCCCCCCTCTTCTTTTCGGGGGTTTCTGGGCTTGTATCGTTTGATCCTTGGTTGCTAATAATGGGACAGTGTTCTGGTGAATATGTGGAACCATACTGCGTTTCCTGCTTATAAGAGTCGGTTGTGGAATATGACGCAGCCGGCGGCGGAGGTGCAGGAGGCGGAGAGGAGAAGGGGGTACGTATCCTATCCTATTCTATTCTCTTTTCTATTCTTTCCTTTGGGGGTGCTGGTTGGGGATCTTTGCTGACGTGTACTGGATTTAGGTATTCGAAGTAGATTTTCCCTTGCCTGTTTCTGAGGCGAAGGTGTTTGTGAGCTTGATTATACCGACGTCGTTATTTTATATCGTTCATGCGTTCTGTTGTGATACCCATCTCTTTGGTGAGAATCACCTCAGAATGATTTTACTCTTTTCTGATCTTCGCTCTTGCCAGTTTTCATGTCATGTTATTTCTATTCTATTCTATCATTTCTTGGGCATGATGATACGACGTATGAACGAAAAGAACGTTTATGAATACAAATGAAGTGAATAACTTTGACATATTTCATGATCATGGCCGGTTCGCGTAGTAGCTCTCGTCCTGATTCAACAGGTAGAACGGCTCGGGCTTTGGCTCCCAGCTTTCGCCGTACCATACAGGTTTGCTGAGCGTCTCTGGCGTGTCCTCGCGCTTGGTGTTGGAGAAGACGTGCTCGAAGGTCTTGGCCCACTGCACGCGATTATTGAGGCCCTCCAGTTCCCAGAGCTCCTGCAGGAAGTGCAGCATGGAGGTGTGGGTGTACGCTGAGTTGTTGGTGTACATGGTGCCGTCGTTGTGGATGAGGGTGTTCGGTTCGATGTATGGCGAGATAATGAACGCAGGAACGCGCACACCAAGACGAGTGAAGTCATAAGTAACGGGGCGGCCCTCTGATTCTCCGTCAAACCCGATGCCATCTTCAGGCTGGGGAACGTTGACGGGCGGCGGTACATAGTCCGCAAAGCTCCGTGCTCGTCAAAGTTGATGATGATCAAACTAAACAGTGGGTCAGTTATGACGTTCGAAACGACGCATGTAATGGAATCGTACACATTATCCCAATACTTGGATCTCCGGACTGCATCGTATAGGTGCTTGATCATTTGCTCGCCAGCTGCCATATTGCTCTTCGGGTGCATCGAATCTATGCTGCAACATTCAGGGTTGATATAAGAGAATGCTGGCAGTGTGCCTTCCTCCAGATCACGGTAGAAGTCACTGGCGTGGGCTAAATTGTCTATCGCATTGTCTTGGACCCACTGTGGACTGTTAGCTGGCTTTTGTACCTTACGGTGAATGCCATTTTCTTACCTTGTACATCCACCCATCAATAATATCGGTTTCATAGTACTGGAACAGCATTAGCTATTGGAGACCTAGAAATAGTGGACCACATTACATTTTTCCAACTGATGTTCTTGTTGCTAAGCGATTCAAAGATTGAAGTCGCACAAGTAGTGCCCGTTACGTTATTGAAGAACCCTGCGGCTTGGTCCGTATTATCGACGTATCCACAGGTCGAGCCTGAGGTAGCAAATTGACGGTTCGGGTTGGTAGGTCCAGGGTGTTCCGCAAACTGTCCCGTCAGTCACGTCCACCAGTGTATGAAGGTTGCACAATATGCTCACATAGGAATCCCAGAACGCGAAATTCTGGGCAATCTCCGCAAGAGTCGAGGATTTCTTCTCATCATAAGCCTTGATGACAAACGCCGACTCTCCTGGGGTCGCATGGTATTTCTCTGACTGGCGTTCGATAAAGCCGCCCATGTTAGGGACGTCGTCATTTGTTGCATTCCATTTCCGGTAGATTTGATATGTCACCCCGGCGAACTCGTGATCCGGATCTTCCAATGGCACTTCCGTCTCGTAAGGCCCGGCGCATATATCGAGAGGCTCGCCCCAAACTGTCCAGTTGGGGTTAGTGTATTCATTACAGTATTTCCTATTGCGCAGGTTGTCAATATCTGGATGAAAGTCCCAGTACCCGGCAATGTTGGAAAAGGAATGATTCTCCATCATCAAGTAGACTACATGTTTGATCTAATAAAATTAGATCTTCGTTTAGTCATGGCGACAGGGATGATTAACGTACGTTTGACCGGAGCTGGCCCCAGACATCTTTGTGGGCTTCATGAGGTAGAGCCGAAGTAGCTGTTGCTAGTGCTAGGATCAACCAAGTCCACTGCATCTCGTCGTTCGTTTCTCAACATCGCGAGACCTATCGCAGGGCTCGACGCGCGATATTTATTCCCATACCGCATGGTATTTCGTTGCGCCACACCGGTAGGGCGTCACATTCCAGAGCGAAAAGGGACGGTCCACCTTTCATCGTCAGGATCTCTTTCCCAACAGAATTCTTGGTAGGAGACATCATCGGGAAAGATCAGCTGCGGCCAGTTCATGCCATGTGAGACATCACTGCAACATGTTGATCAAGTGGAAGAGTGCTACGGCGGTCTCCGGAGGTCGCGCGAGGAATTGCGAAAAACGGGATAGAGCGGGCGGACCCTTGCGTCGAAAACGAGCACTATTGAACTAGTGAGTATATTAGTGGGGTACCACCGCGTTAATAATGTAATATGTCCCCTTGGAATTCTTCCATGCTCGGTTGAGTATGTTGCAAGAACTCAAGACTCCATCGGACTGCTAGTACTAGTAGTAGTAAGTCGCATCTGCAATGATGAACATGCAGGATGCAAGGACAAGTTCCGTATCACGTCGGAATCCATTGCGCTGTGGTACCCTCGGGAAGTGGTCAGACCAGTCGTCCTGCAGTGGTGGATCAGCCAGCATCCAGAGGTTAGATATGACTCCAACATGATAGGTCCAAGGCGCCGGTCCGATGGGCCCTTGCGAAGGGAGGACTAAGCCTGAAGTGGGATAGGTGCCTGAATCCAAGCTTTCCAGGCACCCCACCCGCTTCTCTGGGGATTTGGACGAATCACGTCCCCACGTGCCAAGAGATCCCCTCATTTGAGGCAAATGACCGCTTCTTCACCTCACGCACGTTGTTGGTCATTCTCCCTTAATAGGCTCTGTGGCAGGTGACACTGGAGCAAGTCGGCACAAGCTCTTCTCAAATGTGCACAATTCCCACTCGCGGTGGAGCATACCTCCAATGCTTGTTACTAGGGTATATGTCCCGTGGTGCTCTCATTTGATCAGACTCTCTCGCTCCTTATCGGAGGTCCTCTGTCGTTGATACTTCATTGTGACACTAGACAATAGTGCGATCCACCGGGAGTAGAACATTTTTACGTACATAATTATATAAACCCGTCTTCCCGTCAGCGTTCCCGACATCACTTGACTCTCTTTCGAAAGGTCCGCACTGTACATAGTCCTAGTATTCCAGGTCGTCACACACACCACCATACCACCATGTCAATTTCCTCCATCAGGGGACTCCTCTCCAGCTACTCCCCCGTCTCGGAATTCTCGCCGGACTTGGAGAAGGAATACCAACTACCCCTTCGAAATGGATCGTCGAGCGACCTCGAGTCTTCAGCCGACGAGGCAAAGCCCTGTCGGCCAAAAACGGAGAAAGCGGACTCTAAAGTCATCGACGGTCGACTGGTATCGGATGCCATCATCGGTCTTTCCGACGGTATGACGGTGCCTTTTGCATTGACTGCTGGGCTGTCTGCGTTGGGAGACACAAAAGTCGTGGTATTCGGTGGAATGGCTGAACTCATTGCGGGTGCCATATCCATGGGTCTAGGAGGATATTTGGGAGCAAAAAGCGAGGAGTAAGTAGAACCCGCATGATCTCAAAGGCCGCTTTCACTAACATGTCTGTGCAGGGAATCCTACCGCGCCACATTAAAGGAGACTGAAAGCCAAACCATGACAGATCCATCCGGGGTGACGGACACAATTTCCGATATCTTCGCGCCTTACGACCTTCCTCCCCACCTCGTCTCCGAACTCACCAGACATCTTTCGACCTCCCCGATGCTACCATCTTTTCTCATGAATTTCCATCATACCCTTCAAGAACCTTCCGGATCACGCGCCTTTATCTGCGCTCTGACAATCGCCCTGGGCTATTTCATCGGTGGCTTCATCCCGCTACTCCCCTACTTTTTCGTTGGGCCTAACGATGCCTTTATTGCGCTGCGTTGGTCCATCGCTACTATGGTTGTGGCGCTGTTCCTGTTCGGTTATGGCAAAACTTGTTTCGTAAGCGGCTGGAAGGGTGGTCGGAATGTTCGACGCGGACTCATAGGTGGTTTACAAATGGTCTTGGTTGGCGGTGTTGCAGCAGGATCTGCCATGGGTTTGGTCAAGGGTTTCCAATTAATGGCTTCTGGTGGCAGTGATGGAGGAGAACAGTAATACTCCATCTACACCTTTTGCTTTTATTCTGTGGCTTGGCTTGGTTTCGGCGTTATGGGGTAAAAAGACATTGGGCATGGTAACTGGGGCGAAGGAACTGGGTATATATTTATAAAAAACTATAAACTTAAATAAGAAAATAAAATAAAAAGTTCAAAATATTTTACAAATTTTATTTTACAAAGAATGTGAGGACTTGCAAACTGATACTAAAAGCGACCACTATAGCGGCTATCTATGGCCGTATTTCTACTGTAACTCCCAACTTCTAGCCGCTGCTCTAAACATCCTGTTAACTATGTGTTTTGCATCATTATTCTACATCATGGAGCAGACTACAAAGACTCACTCGGTCTGTGATACTCTTGCAAGGGAGCACCTTGGCGGCAATGTCATCCCGGTAGCTGTGCAGGGGCGTGTGCATCTGTACCGTCTTCGCTGGTCGCTCAGTTTCGCCTTAAGTCTACATCTGGCTCAAACTATTTACAGCGATTTTGCACATGTATTACCGTCTGCGCCGTACGATGGAATGCCGACTAGCTATAAATGTAGCACCGAATGATGGTTACAGAATGCCGAAAACTGTCAGTGCTATGCTAAAGCTCTTCTCACCAAAGCAAGATTCTGGATCGCCGCCAGACCATAAAGCGACGAAAGATTGGTTGATATCCAGTTTGCTTCCTCAACATTGACTGGGACGAGACATCCGGTTACCGACCGGCTGACCCATGGCAAATCTGGCGCATAGCCATCACCATTATAGAACTCTTTCCAGGAACGGTGCCCTAAAACCGAGTCTTCTAGGCTATTGGCCGCATATGCTGTCAAACGAGAATGTCCCTGGCGCAATATCAGATTTCCAAAACCTACCCCGTACCTCTGTACCTGTTCCTCTGCGGTGGCATTGAAATAAAGACAATAATCCACCCATGCTTTTTCAAACCCTCTCGGTAAATCACTGGCTAGGCAATCGATAAGCACCGCGCAGATCTCGAACAGGCCGAACATGGCGGAAAGATGGGAGATTTGGACGACTCCTTGGTTTGATAAATCGTGAGAGGGAGAGTGGATTTGCCCTGTCTGGGTGTTGTAAAGAGCCATTCCAGTCACAAAGCCATTGTGGAGCTGAGATATGCCCGCCATGGACGAGAACAATTTGCTTTTCGCCTCCTCCCAACCGGGTGCTCGTCTCTCCCAGGCGATGAGCCATGCTGCTGCAAAGGCTGACCAATCGGTTCCCAAAGAGATGGATACAGCCTCAGTGGTAGGTTTATAAGATGCTTTATCCGTTCGTACCTTACGGTATGGGTCTAGAATTAAGAAAGTTTTTTCTGCCCACAGTGTCTCGTCTAGCAGCTCGCCAGTGCGCTCATCGCCTCCCGTGAGGTAAAAGAAGATCCATCTATACAAGGCGTTCGATATTCGAGCTTGCTTGCAGCTATCGCTCCAATGCTGGACCCCGTGTCGGGTCCCAAGCCCTTTCCATGGCCCGATATGGTACACGTCCACCTCTCCTGTGTGCCTGGTAAGGGCTTCGGCTAGACGGTATACGTCCTTCCTGCTCGTCCGCAAGAAGTATAACCAGAAGAACAAGTCAGGAGAGAGTTCAGAGTTGTCCCAGGCATAGCCTCCTATATCATAGCACCAGGAGTGGCGGTCTCCGTCGTAAGTGTGCATGATGTCCCCATGGTCCCAGAAGCCGTACCATCGGCGCTGAGATATCTGTGTCTTGTAAAATTCGAAAAGAAAGTCAAGGTTTCGGTTAATCTCCGCTTCTGCAGGTGTGGTATTCTCTGTGGGTACACCCCTTGACCAAAATGTGCCTAATACGCCTGTTTCCAGGATATACTCAGGGTCTGGAATCACCACCGGTGGGTCCCGCATATACTGTACCGAACTGCTTAGCTGTGCGGACGTGGGGGTATGGTCAAAAGCAAAAAGAAAGATCTCGTTCGTCCGTGCAATTCCAACAGGCGTTCCTGTCCGATGTTCCCAGTCTTCATATGTGATGCGCAGGGCATCAAGCTCCTCATCATAGGTTTCTTGCGCCAGTCCGTCATGGTATGGGCGGAGATCCATTGCTTCTGCGGATGGACTGTACAACCACAGCGTGATTTCTCCAGTGGCTTCGGCGGCATTTCGAATATCTAAGCCGGTTGGGTATCGTTCCCAAAAATAACGCATTCCTAGCCCTAGACCTCCTCGAGTTGCACCACCAAGGTATCCAAGCCCGCCAGCTTGAGTACCGCCAGGAATATTGACCCAGCTGTGACCTGATGCAGTTCTTTTCTTCATAGTATATCCGTCTGGTGATAGTTGGGAAATACTGTAATCATTCCAGCACGGCACCCACTGCATATAATCTCCAACCTCGCCAAGCCAGGTATCCATAGGAGGAAGAGGTTCGCCGTTAATCTGAGCCGTGCGGACACTTGATCCTGGATTTCTGCGAAGGCCGGTAACACCCTGTACGGCCTCCCCAAAAATGCCATCATCAACACCTGCGAAACGGACGTGCCGGTTGCAAGGTAATTCATCCTCCAACGGAACATCAAACTGGATACCGATGCCCTTGATGAAACTTGTTTGTGGGTCTCCATCATACGTGATTGTATGGACAATCCGGATGGAATCTGAATTATAATATAGATAAAATCGCAGAATGAAAGGGAGCCATGGTGCCTGTGAGCGGCTGTTAATATCAACCGCACGGTGGTTTCCGCGTACGGTCAATAGAGCCCTTATGGGGCCTTCCTGGTCAATATTTACGCTTTCAATGTTGCTCAGAAATTGGTGGCTATCTGACTTTTCTGTCTCCGTTGGAGGTGATGCTTGTGAGCGCACTATCAGTCGGCCATTTTGGCCAATTGTCGTCCCATTGCTCAGGACGATACTCTTGATTAACTCCGAGCCGGTGGTAGGAAAAATCACGCGGACCTTGCCAGTGTCAACCTCTATGAATCCTGTACAGGCATCCTGCTTGATCAAAATACCTGCGTTAACAGGCTCAAGGTGGTTAGGCGTCGTTGGGATTGCTTCCACTGAATAGCTGCTAGCCATGTCGGTGCCGGCCGCAAAGGCATGCGCAGTCCATTTGATTGACCCATCTGGCCAGTACGCGATTACCCATGATTGTAAAGCGATGGATCCATTCCTAGGACTAGAACAAGCGAACGTGGTTCTGCCAGGCCAATACTTCCCACGGGGCCAGGGGACGCCAACAGTCGCACTAAATTTATCTTTAATATAATGCCGTTCAAGACATCGGAGCGTGACACCTTTGTTATTCGTCGACATATTATGATATATCGCTCTTGAGTAACGTGCTAGGATGTAGCTCTGGGGGGCCGTTACTTTCAGTTGTTGTCTAGGGTGGTTAGCCAATTTGAAGGGTAATATCTTCTTGCCTTCTAGATGAGCTATCGACTCATTGTCAAAAGAGGGTTCCCAACGTGTTCAATTTATCCACCAACCATAAGCTGGAAGCTTATCAAGAAATCTTGCGAAAACCAGCTACTGGTTGATTCATAGAGCCAATTTGCACTAAGCGTTGAGGCGGAGGAGTCGGGCTATGAGAACAATCTGGTGAGCGCTGATGCCATACGCACTTACATGACGAGCAATGCCCTAACCGCAATTTCTCTACACCGAGCCATTGTCCAGCTCGCGTTTTATTTTTCTATCCCTCGTTATTAGCCGTTGACTGTCATTTTGGCATGAGCGCTCAGGGATAAATCGGTATGATACTATTATCGTCTGGCCTACCGGGACAGCACTTCGTCGATTGCACCATCAAGCTCTGGGAGCACTCCATTCTTAATGACTATTGCCAAAAAGTACGATAGAGATAAAGCATCACGGACAATGCTAGCCATATTATATAACCGATACATTCCCTGCCCGTATAATGCGGTCGACCAGCCAGTCCTCGTTTGCTTTACGCTGAGCCTGAACCGGTTCTCTTGGGACTGTATCTGTTGATCTTGGTCCAAGGAAACTACTAGGATGTCGACTACATCGGATTCAAGTCATTTGAACGATAAAAATCGGCCAGGAAGCCCCCAAGCCAACCAACATAAGACCGGGGATATTCAGAGCACTGAAGTGGCGAAAGATGGAACACATATCAATCTTGTTGAGCCGGAAGATGTACCTGAATACAGTACCTTCCTGTCCATCTTCTACTCAAAGAAAAAGTCGGTCGACCTCGATGCTATTGCTACTACGAGGAGTGTGTTCGATGACCCGAATCTGGCCAAATATTACCAGCCACATCCGCAATACGAGAATTTACATCGATTTGACCCTTCTGAAAGATGGACCTACCGTGAGGAAAGATCGGTGCGCCGGAAAACAGATCTGAAGATTTTTCTTTGGATCCTGGTTATGTTTTTTGGGCTCAACATTGATCGGGGTAACCTGGGAAATGCTGCTGCGGATAATCTGTTGCCGGACTTGAATATCAACACCAACGACTACAACAACGCGCAAAACATGTATCGAATCGGCTTTTTGATTGCGGAGATTCCTTCACAAATGATCGGCAAACGGATTGGCCCGGACCGATGGATTCCCATTCAGATTATTCTATGGAGTTTGGCATCCGGTGGGCAGTTCTTTATGCATAACAGAGCAGGATTCTTTGCCTGTCGGTTCTTTCTTGGGTTCTTCATGGGAGGTTTCATTCCAGACGCCATCCTGTACCTCTCATATTTCTACAAGAAAACCGAGATGCCCGTACGCTTGGCGTGGTTTTGGTTTGTTGACTCGATGTCCGGAGTGATCGCCTCGTTCATCGCCTACGGTGTCTTGCATATGCGTGGCGTACAAGGCCGCGAAGGATGGAGGTGGCTCTTTCTTATCGAAGCCTTGATAAGTATAGTGATTGGTTTCTTGAGTTTCTTGTTTCTCGTTCCAGGCCCCACGCAGACAGCAACCAGGTGGAATCCCAAGGGATACTTCACCGAGCGAGAAGAGAAGATCATTGTCAACCGGGTCCTGCGTGATGACCCATCGAAGGGAGACATGCATAACCGTCAGGCGTTGAGCTTGAAAATGCTTTGGCAGAGTTTGAAGGACTATGATCTCTGGCCAGTCTACATCATCGGTATCCTGTTCGAGATCCCTACCTCACCACCAAAGACATATCTCAGCTTATCGCTGAGGGCCATCGGCTTCAGCACCTTCCAAACCACCTTACTTGGCATTCCGGTGACCGTTTTCGCAGCAATAAATCTGCTGATCATCACTGAGTTGTCCGAGCGGTTCAAACAGATCTCTATATTCGGAATTCTGACCCAACTCTGGTCTCTTCCTCTCCTCATTGTTCTGTATACCTCGGCTAGTACGCTATCCCACTGGGGGCTCTACGCGGTTACTTTTGTCCTTCTTGGCTGGCCTTCTATTCACGCTGCACAAGTCGGGTGGTGTTCTCGGCTAAGCAATGCGGTCCGAACGAGGGCTGTCAGCGCTGCTCTCTATAACATCACTATTCAGCTTTCCGGGATTGCGTCTTCGAATATTTACCGCGAGGATGATAAGCCATACTATCATCGGGGAAACTCGCAGCTGATTGCCATCAACGTCGCGACTATTGTAGCATACGTGCTGGCAAAGCTCTACTATGTGGCGAGGAATAAGTGGAAACGCGCCAAATGGGATGCAATGACGACAGAGCAGAAGTCTCACTATCTTGAGACGACTAGTGACCAAGGTAACAAGAGGCTGGATTTCCTGTTTGATAGCTAGATGTGGGCCGCAGAGGACAGCAAAGCTGGGATGAACTTTAGGATAGATAACCCTGTCATTACATAGAGTCAGATGAGTCGACTGTATTAGACTATTACCTTTTTACTAGCTCTAGACACTACTCTAATGATTCCCTGTCTGATGGCATAGCATCAATGCAGCTATAATGACGCGAGAGCATAAGCCCACCAATAATGGCAACTCTTCAATTTAGTCTTAGGATATATTAACAATGCGCGAACCCTACACACGGCGAGACACAAGGATAGAAGAAATACTTAATCTATCTCAAATAACCCCCCAACCATAAGCAGAGGTCCTCTCTTACTATCCTAAAGAGTCCTCCCAAATATTCTGCTCAAAATGCCAGCCCCCGAACCCCAACTCACCCTCCCCGAACGTCCCCCAAACCTCCCACACCCCGAGTATCAAACACCCCGGGGCGTCTCTCCCCTCCAGTCCGTCCGCGCCGCAGGCTCCAATACCCAAATTACACCCCCTTCAAGCTCCCCAACCTCATCGAAAGGCCCTTCACAGACCGCGGCCTGTCCGCAGACCCAACCAAGTCCCGCCTCCTGAAAGCAGCCACGGCCATCACGCACCTGACCCCCGAGATCGGCACCGAGCTCGCCGGCCTCCAGCTGAAGGACCTCACAGACGAGCAGAAAGACGACCTCGCGCGGCTAGTCGCCGAACGGGGTGTCGTGTTCTTTCGTGACCAGGACCTGGATGTGCACGAGCAGATCGCCTTCGGGGCCTACTTTGGCGATCTGCATATTCATCAGATGGCCGGCATTATCCCGGATTTGCCCTGGGTGCATCCGATCCACAAGGATGAGACGGCGGTCAATGGGAGGTCGCATCAGATTTGGCATTCGGATGTGAGTTATGAGATTCAGCCGCCGGGGTTGACGCTGTTGAAGATGGATACTTTGCCCAATGCGGGACCGAGGGGGGGTTGGCTGGCGGGGATACTATTTGGGCTAGTGGGTATGCCTTATATGAATGTGAGTTCAGTTTTTTTTTTCTATCTTTCTTTTCTTGGGTTGTGAACAAGGACGTTGGATGGCTTAAGGCCAAGGCTAATGGATTGGTTGCCAGCTCTCTCGCCGAAGTTGAGGTCTTTTCTTGAGACTCTAGAAGCCAAGCATAGTGGTCTCGAGCAAGCGGAAAAGGCGCTCCGGACGAGCGGTTGCCTGAGGAGGGATCCTATTGAGACCATTGTAGGTTATCGCATCAGTGTTGGTTATTGAATAACCTAACATAAAGCTCACACAACCAGCACCCTGTCGTTCGTACACACCCCGTTACAAAGTGGAAGACGCTGTACGTCAACGAGAACTTCACCAAGGAGATCGTCGGTCTTGAGAAGAGAGTGGGGGATGGTATCCTTGACGCTCTGTACCGGACTGTCGCTGAGGGCTACGAGTTCCAGGTCCGATGGAAGTGGACCAAGAACGCTGTTGCTATTTGGGATAACCGGGCTACTTTCCATACGGGGATTTTTGACTACTGTAAGTATTGTAGACAGGTCCGTTGTTTTACTTTGGGGGGTTTACTAATTCGATGTACAGTTCCTCATCTAAGACACGGTTTACGGGTTGCTCCACAGGCCGAGAAGCCCTATCTTGATCCTGAGTCTAAGACCCGGAAGGAGGCGTTGCAGCAGGAAACAGAGAAGAGCAACTAAATTAGAATACCTAGAGTGGGCAATGGGATCATCTGTATTATTGCTTCTAGATACTACCTACCGTATTCTGTAATTGCAAGTTAACCAAGCCATCTTGGCATTTGGTATGGTTCGATCAGGACCCAAAGTATTAGGGCTCGATATGACCGGATGCGGAATCAATTACCGCAAGTTAATATAGTGTATTGCCTCATTTTTCTTATCAAGACGATTTAATTACCTCAAATTTCGCATCATATCCAGAAAACCTCCATCTGCGGGACAGCTTCCGCCGCAGATGATATCATTTCCTCGCATATGAGCTCACGCAAGATAGCTGAGCAAGTTAGCATAAGCAACAAATATCCCCTTGGCACTGCGGGATAACGGTTAAATTGGACAAGCTTCTGCATCGGTGGAATGAATCAATCAAGCTTTAGCTTAACTGGCATCATAATGTCGGCCATGTCGCAATCCACGTGCTTATCGTCCTGCATGAAACTTATATTAAAGTGATGACTTGATCGACTCTAAAATCACGACAACCTGTCCTGATGCTCTGAATAGGTTGGATAATACTGTCATGTCATATTTGGAAGGATTTTAGGTCGGATATCGGTTATTTTATCCAATGCTCGGTTGATACGTCCTTGAGGGTATCTGCTGTATAGATTAGTAGCAAACTAGCAAGTCCAGCCCTAACACGAAGTCAGAGTATGCGCCGAATACTCCAAACCGTAGTCCCATGTCGCAATTCATGTATAGTACTTTGAGATATAGTGTATTAATTCTAATTAATAATATATATAAGAAAACAAAAATATCTAAAATTATAAAACTCACACCCCAGAGCCGACAACAATCTCCCATTGCATCGAGCCCAGCACCAAAGCCCAAACCAACCAGCAATGATGCGCTCACTTCTCCTCCTCCTCTATTCCACCCTCACCGTCGGTCAACTCATTGGCCCCGTAGGCCCAACCACGCCCCTCTCCGAAAAAACCACCGAATGCAACATCCTATCCTACGGCGCAGTCGCCGATAACAGCACAGATATCTCCACCGCCCTCGAGACAACCTTCAACGACTGCGTGCGCCCCAACCCAGGAAGTCGACTCGTCGTCCCAGAAGGCCAGTACCTGCTCAGTCGGGGCGTGGTGCTCAGCAATGCCACAAACTGGGCCTTCCAGCTGGACGGACTGATCACGGCCGCGTACGGCGGGAGCTGGGAAATTGAGCGTTCGTTAATCCTCCAGGGCTTTGCTGGTGTTGACCTGCTTAATGCGACTATTAATGGAGAGGGTGACCATAAGTTTTTGTTAGATGTTTTGGTGATTGTTAATGGTGAGTATCTTTTTTTTTCTCCATCTTGCGGTGATATGTACTATATGTGTGGTTAGGGGCTGATGGTGTTGTGTAGCCGTTGATTTCGAGTTTTATTCTTCCAATGGATTGGGCGCGTTTCAGGGACAGGGGTATCTGTATCGGAATTTGAACAAGTATGAGGATTCAGCTTCTTTCAGATGTCCAGTGGTCTTGAATCGATTTGATCTAATTGAGACTATAGCACGGATCGACCCCGTCTCGTCCGCTTGATCTCTCCGACAAACGCCTCCGTCCATGACCTGATCCTGGTCGATAGTCCCAAGTTCCATATTATCCTGGACTTCGCCGTGAACGTCGAAGCGTACCATCTCACGATCCGAGGAGCCAACCTGGGCAGCTATGATGGTATCGACGCAATCGGGACGAACTACTACATCCACGACAACGAAGTATATCCCATCCCATCCCACTCACCCCCCAACCAAGAAACGTGTATTAACTCAATGCCCAAGGTAACCAACCGCGACGAATGCGTCTCCGTCAAAAGCCCCTCCCACCACGCCCTGGTTGAGAACCTAGTCT